TGTGTGACCCGGCCGCGAGCCAGGGGGAACTCCGACGAAAAGCCAGTTTTATTTTTGGAAAGAGAAGCTGCTGGCTCGGAGCGTGCATAGCTGCTAAATCACTGCAACCGCCGCTAACGGAGCCCGAATGGCTCTCTACCTTCCGGAACAATTTTTAATGAGTTGCTCAGCAAATTAAACACAGAAAGCAAAGCGATACAAGTCTGTTACAAAGGAAAGAAAATTAAAAAAAAAAATGGATTTAGGCTGTCCAGATGCAGACGCAAAGCATCCTCGGCTTGGGAGAGGCAACAGAGCTGCAGGATGGGTCTCGAGACGCGAAGGAAGAGCTCGCTTAACGGAACTCTCCAGAAATCTGTCCCATCGCTGCTAATTACTTCTGACTTAACGGGGACTAAGCTGGAGAAGACCGATGGACACCAATGGCAGGCACCGGGAAAGCACAGCGCACGCAGGCGGAGCGTACACTTCCGGCGACGTGAGCGCAGCTGGCGAAGGGGTGACCGCTCTCCTATGCCAACCCAGCCACGCTCCCACGCTTCAAAGCCTCTGCCACCCAACCGGGGACCTGGGACGTTTCTCCTGGGGCTGAGGGGATGAATCCCACGCCTGGACGTGGAGCTGGAAAGCCGCCTGCAGCCCTCTGGAGCTCACGGCTTTTGGCAGGGCTTAGGGCGCTCGAAGCTGAGATGACCTGCAGACCATGTTGTCTCACCTAGCTCTGCTCTGGGGTACTCTGAACTTCTCTCGTTGATTTGGTGAAGAAACACCACGCGACCGAATCCACCCCCTACCAGGTTGGCTACCAAACGCTCCACCAGCCAGGGCTGGATCTCCTCTTCCTCGCTCTCCGTCGTCCCGCGATGCTCCTTCCCCCTCTCCCCTCTGCACGAGCACGAAGCTCCGGCACGATGCCAAGGCATGGAGGCGACCAAAAGAAAGGACGAACGCCACGACATCCCTGCTCGAAGGCCCAAAAAACCCACCACAAACAACGGCCTGGCCGCTCCCCAGTGCCTATTGTTTCCACAAACTGTTTCTTGCTCTCAGTTCTAAGCAATTATAAGCCTCCTAATTGAAGCATGCGATGTGCGTGCCGGAGCGAGAGCCAGTCGCTCCAGGACGGCTTGGCTGGGAACAGGACAGGCCAGAGCGGCTCCACAGGGCTGTCCTATCACCATGTATCAGGCGTGATTTGGAAAGACAATCTCCGGCGAAGATGAAGGCTCGGTTTGCCTGGGTCACCCAGGCTCCACTATCCCTTCTCAGGCTGATAATTCAGCTCACAGGACGGGTGTTTTCGTTGCAAAAGAGGAAGACCACCTTGGCCAAAGTTGGGGTGACACCTCAGCCTTGAACTCCAAGTCTTGAGGCAAGAAATGTCCAACTAAAACGTTCTAAACCCAAGACACCTGGCTCTTTCAAAAAAAAAAAAATCTTCTCCAACTCCTAAGTGTAAGACCCTCATAGCTGCAAGTCCTGCCTGCCCTCTCCCCAGTTGAGGGCCTCCTCTGCCCACCCGGGGTGGAGGAAGACGCCAAAAGCTCAGTCCCACCTGCGACAGAGCGGCACCCAAGCCATGCCAGCACGGTGGGACGTCCCGCGGCAGCCAGCGCTGCCACGCCGGGTGCCGGTTGCGTTCCCGCCGCGTTAGTCAGTCAGCAGAGCACGCAGGTTCACTACGGGACAGATTTTAGACACGTAAGGGGTCATCACAAGAAGCCTACAGCTTGGGTGGTGGAGCTGCAGGACCTCAAGGCCCTGCTTTGGCATAAACGGCGAGGAAACCCTAACGCCCAGACCACCCCGAAACACCAACGCTATTAAAGCGCGTGCTACGCTTGAAGCCACACGTGCTCTCCTCTCCCTCAGCCTTAGCTACTGAAACGTAAGCCATCAAAAGGACGTCGAGAAAAGCTTGCCACGCTTGGCGGTGCTGACCCTACCGAGATGCCAAGAGGGCAGAGCACCAGGTCTGTTGGCCATCGTGCCGCCTGTGGCCTCCATCACGGGTTTGGCCGTACGGATCAATCCACGGAGCCTTACCTGAGCGTAATCCTCCGGCTGGAGCGGGCTAAGGCGCCTGGAAGAACCCCGTTGAACCACCACCTGCACCCTGTTGGGTGTCCACGAACCAGCCTTTGCCACCCGGAGTGAGTTTTCAGCACGGGGAAAGGCACGCGCGGCTTCCTCGGAGAGCGGGAACGGCGCGCACGAGCCCAGGCTGAAAACTTACGCCGCTGCGGAGTGTGTGAGTTGTGGTGGGTGTGGAGCAGCGGCCAACACTCCTCGTGGGTTAAGGAGTCGGAGTGTACGAGCCCTGTACGGCGAGGACTTACAAGTCCTGTGTATAGAGGTATAGAAAAAGGTAGCTCACTTAATCCTTTCATGCCAGGAGTTGGGATTTTCCCGGAGCGACGTCCATTGCCGGCAATGGACACACCAAAAGAACGTCGGCATCATTGAGTTAACCACCTCTGTCCTCTTTTCACCCATTCTATTGCTCATGCATCATCCAGCTTCCCAACCATCTTCCCGTTTCTTCACCGTATGCACGCTATGTCCTCTCCCTTCTTCAGCCCGGAGTTGAGAAAAGGAGACACATGGTCAGCTCCTTGCTGCCCTGAGAAGCTGGATGGAAATGGTTGAAATTACCAAGGGGGTCATCAGCAAGACTGGAGAGGACATAGCTTAAGTAACGAGGTTTCAGACCCTCCCGTCCCCCCCATCCAACACCAGTTACTGCAGATGGTCCACAACTCAAAACCAGCTTTTAAAAAGCTTGGAAGGGCTGGAAAAGCCACCTGGCTCTCGTGCCACCGGGTTTTCCAAGGTGACTATCCATGCCACTTCCACCTAAAGCAGTGCCCCGCCAGCTTAGTCATTTCTTTTAGACATTGGCCACCTCTGGGCCGGGCTATGGTGGCACCCAGCATCATAACGGGTGAGAGTCAGACAGAAGCAGTTAACTCTTCATGCCAGGACGGAACGAATCCCCAGGTCACAGTTTCCCCACAAACGTTTTACAGAAGAAAAATGAGTTTTCACAGCCCCGTGGCACGATTCTGCTTTTTTGGGTGGGATTGGCTGGGGTTACTCCAAAGCCAGGGCTTTGTGAGCTGCACCCCATCCCTGACACGCGCGCTGCATCAGGCTCTCGGCATCCTCGCGAAGCCAAGAGGTTAAGAACCACGCTATGAGACAGCTGGGGGTGTGAATCCACATCTTGAATAGTAACGGTGACAGGTCACGGCTCCCCAGCCGGCCCTCGGGCTTCAGCAAAGCTCCCGAGATACCCAAGGCTGAGCTCCTCCAAGCTCCACAGAAAACATGAGCCTCGGCGTTACGACGACACCGTCAGCTCAAATTTGGTCTGGAACCAACGTTTTGGAGGAGTCACTCGTTTTGTGAAGCTTCACACTTTTCATTGGTGCTTTTCAACTTTTTGGGGGGCTGCTTCGAGTTTAAAGCTTAAAGTTTAGGCCTGTAGCTAGTGGTGTGCCCCAGGTGTCAGCACTGGGCCCAGTCTTGTTTAACTTCTTCATCAATGACCTGGATGAAGAGTTAGAATGTACCCTCAGCCAGCTTACTGATGACACAGAACTGGGAGGAGTGGTGGATACACCTGGGCAGGCTGGAGAGTTGGGCAGAGAGGAACCTGATGGAGCTCAACAAAGGCAAGTGTAGGGTCCTGCACCTGGGGAGGAACAACCCCAGGCACCAGTACAGGCTGGGGCTGAGCTGCTGGGGAGCAGCTCTGCGGAGAGGGACTGGGAGTGCTGGGGGACGACAGGGTGACCATGAGCCAGCAGCCTGCCCTGGCTGCCCAGAAGGCCAATGGTCTCCTGGGGTGCATTCAGAGGAGTGTGGGCAGCAGGGCGAGGGAGGGTCTCCTCCCCCTCTGCTCTGCCCCAGTGAGGCCCCATCTGCAGTGCTGTGTCCAGTGCTGGGCTCCCCAGTTCAAGAAAGATGAGGAGCTACTGGAGAGAGCCCAGCGCAGGGCTACGAGGATGAGGAGGGGACTGGAGCATCTCTCCTAGGAGGAGAGGCTGAGGGAGCTGGGCTTGTTCAGCCTGGAGAAGAGAAGGCTGAGAGGGGACCTTAGAAATGCCTGCTGCCCAGAGGGGCTGGGGAGTCTCCTTCTCTGGAGATATTCCAGCCCCGCCTGGCCGCGGTGCTGTGCAGCCTGCTGTGGGTGACCCTGCTTGGGCAGGGGGTTGGGCTGGGTGACCCACAGAGGTCCCCTCCAGCCCCTACCATGCTGGGATTCTGCAAACGCCGCAGCACCCGCTCCTGGCAGCGAACACCCTGGTACGAACAGACCTGGGCAGCGCAGACCCAGTCTGTCCCAGGGCAGCGCAGGACCAAGGCTCCGCTTCGCTCTCAGTGCAAACAACCCCAGGTATCAGCGCTGGGATAGCAAAGGGCTTTGTTTCCATTTAACCATCAATTCAGCCCGAGTGTCGCTTCACTTCAGAAAATCGCGCGACCCACGCAGGTTTTCAGAGTCTGCAAACGAAAATCTGGTAAACCATCGCAGACCCCCTTGGTGAAGAGGGGAGGGGGGGAAGCAGCACGAGCTAACTTCTCTACAGAAACGTCTTTTAGCTGCTCGCACAGCCACGTCTCGCCTCTCCTCCCACTAAGATTCATGGCACAAATGATCACGCTCAAACTCTGCAAATGTTGAAGAGTATCTGATTCTTCTGACAAAATTCCGAGCTGAAGGTAAGGTTTCTCCTCAGGTAAATCCCCAGGTCCATTTTTGAAATTACGGTCACTGGAGGGGACAAGCAAAGGTTCGTGGACTCCAAGCTCCTCCGTCCGCGCGTGGCACGGCAGTACGCGTATCGCCTGTTATTTTATTAGCCTCTTCTACATCTTTATTCATTATCAAATTCAACGGGTAAATCAACTCTTTAGCTAGATGATGCACCGTAAAACGTAAATTTGCTTTAAAAGTGCTTCTAATAATTAATATTGGGCAGATACTCGATTAAGAGATGGGCAGAAGATCCTCCGCAACCTTTTCCACCAGGCCCACACCATGGTGGAAGCATGGCAGCGGCTTTGACTCCTTTGCTGGATCCTCAGGAAATGCAGCTTTTACGCTTCTTAGAGCGCGAAAGCAACCTAAAGGCTCCCACCCCTCTTGCTCTCAAATATAATACAAGGACTGTAACGTAAGGACTGGTAGGGTTGGACTAGATGACCCACAGAGGTCCCTTCCAACCCCTACCATTCTGTGATTCTGTGATTCTGCGACTGTAACGTAAGGACCATAACATAAGGTCTATAACCTAAGGACCACAACCCTACAGAAGCAGCAGATGGGCAAGGAGTTTCCAAAGACCTGAAGAAACCCTGGGCAACGTCTGAAGCGTTGAGTGGTGAGTTGCTGGAATGTCATCCTACGTTCCATCAAGAAAAGCCGTCGGCTGAAGAGCCAAGTTGGCCAAGGCGGCCAAGTTGGCCACCCACCCTTTGTGGGGACAGGGGCCTGATTCGGGAGGAGACAGCCTGTGGTCACCAAGCTCTTCTCTTACAGAAGTTATCTGCTCGAGGAAGACCTTGATGGGAGTGAAACCATGAGCAGCTGCATAATCTTGCAGTCTTTAAAGGCTCAAACAACACCTCCATATCTGAGTATTCACCTGATCTAAACACCAGCTGCAAGCACCCAGACTACTACCGAGAGAACGCAAGTTGGCCAACACACCGGCTTCTGGAGGCTCTACACGAAGCAGATGAAAAGCAGCCGTTAACAGGACAGGAAACACTGACGATGGCGTGATAACCGAATTTCGGAGTAGACAGCCCACCAATTTTTTCCATCCTTGACAGATATTGGGCCACTTCTACCAAAAATGCTTGTGGCGCTGGCGCTACCCTCTTTTTCCGACCAGTTGAGAAAGGAATCTCAGTCCCTTAGGCCTGCCCTCACCCTGAACAGCCTAAAAAATAACTGGAGGGGGACTTTGTGGTGCCCAAAACCAAATTATCCGCTGTTTCCAGCGTGCAAAGCACCGACGCCTGAAAATCTATCGTAAGTCACGTACAGGGCAGTTTGCGACGACAGGATACGTACAGAAAGCACCTGGAGAAGCCCTTTAGCATGGAAAAGCATCTTGGTCATCAAACATTTACCAACAGGACAAAAACTCAGCTCCGTTTGCACCGACCCGCAAACAACTCTGCCTTTTCCTCAGCAAGGGCAGAGGTGACGTAGCTGCAGGTAGGTGCCTCTTACCTTGAGCTCCTTCCAGCTGTCGAGCAGCCTGGTAGCCAAATCGCTCACATCCACGATCTTGTCCGTTTGTTCCTGGCTCCTCTCGCTCTCGACGTCGGATACGCCTTCCTCTTCGTCTTGGGAGGGCGTCTCCATCGTAATGGGCTCTTCCAGCTTCGCACCGTTGCTCTCCTTGACCTCGGCTTCAGGCTCAGCCTCCAGCTCCGCGGCTTGGGGTTTGCTGCTTTCCACCGGCGTGTCAACGGCAGCTTTGATCTCCTGCTGCTGCTGCTCCTCCGACACCTCCATCGGGGCACCCTCCAGCTGGTCCAGGTCCTCTTTGCCCTCCTTTCCTTCCAGCTCGCTGGTGGTATCCGAGATGGCACTGTCCATGCTGTTTTCACTTATAATTTTCAGCCTTCGAAACACCAGCTTCTTCGGGGTGTCCGTGTCGCCTTCCGCGCTCTGCTTGGCGGAAAGGTCCGGCGTGTTGAGCGGCGTGTGAGCCCGCGAGGTGTTCTCGCTCGAGTAGCCATCGCCCTCGCTGAGCTGCGGGACAGCAGTCTTGGTCTGAGCCCAGCGCTGGATAACGGGCAGCACTTTGCTCTCCTCCAGCATGTTCTTGGTAGGTATCGGCAGGAGCTCCAGCGTCTTCATGATCTAACGGCAGAGACAAAAATCACACTGTTAGAGCCTTTAGAATTTAAAAGCCATCTCCAACCTGGAACAATTTCCTCTGCTCGGCAAGAGGTAACTCCGAAATACCAACAGGACGGTGACAGGCCACGGGTCGGGGATAGCGGTGTCCCTGCTCAGGGCTGAACTGCAGCAGTGAACTTCTGCTGAGAGCACGTAAACGGTGAGGGGGTGGCAAACAGCGAGCACGGGTGTTCTGCAAATGAACTGATTTAGCAATTAGTCGCAAATCAACGGATTTCAGAGAGCTCGGACGCTTATGGGTGGCCATACCCATTCACAGAATCCCAGAAGGCAGGGGTTGGAAGGGACCTCTGGGGGTCACCCAGCCCAACCCCCTGCCCAAGCAGGGTCACCCACAGCAGGCTGCACAGCACCGCGGCCAGGCGGGGCTGGAATATCTCCAGAGAAGGAGACTCCCCAGCCCCTCTGGGCAGCCT